TTAGGAACTGTCAGAAGTACACCCTAAACAATGATGAAGTTAAGCAAAAGCTTTTCCTGATTTGGGGTTGTGTTTCACTCACCTTCACTCATGAAATAAGTAATAATTCATCAGTAAAATCAAACTCAATATCTTGTTACATTTGACTCTTTATACATAATCAAAACTCAGAACAAAAATTGCAAGAATTTTATGCTGTTAAAATGTTTTATGGTCTTAAAATATCTCAAAAGAAATTGGAATCCGGGTGATAGTGGGGCACGCCTTTAATCCCAGCACTTGGGAGTCAGAGGCATGTGAATGTCTTTGAGTTTGAGGTCAGTCTGGTCTCCAAGAGTTAGTTACAGAATAGGCTTCAAAGCTAAAGAGAAACACTGTCTCAAAAAAAAAAAAAAAAAAAGAAAAGAAAAGAAAAGAAAAGAAAAAGACAAAAGAAAATTAGAATACATTTTTGTTCACAACACTAAGCTTGTGGAGAAGGCCCAAAATCCCAGAAGAATAATGCTTGGCTAACCTCATGAATATTGCACTACTGAGCTCATCTTACCTTTAACCAAAATGTATGGTGCCTTTAGCCGTAGGATCTTACCACCTAGTAGTAACAATTAATGACAACAATTTCTTTTGTTAAGTTCCTCGGGGCTGCTGTGACCCATAATTAATGGAGGGAAAATCTGTAACAAGCACTGCTTGATTTCATTTAATGACTCATGTTTTCTGGGCGTCATATTGTTGGCAATACTGCTGTTCAAATTCTTCCTTCTTTGAAAATTATGCTTGAATTAACTTACAAACTAGTGAGATCTCATAAGCTCATTTCATTTGTCTTTAAATTTTGTTAAACCATTCAGTTACTACATTTCCGTGTCGCTATTCTCCCACTCTTCCAGTTCTTCACCTCAGGTGTCACACACTCAAGCCAGTACCTCAGCATCACCCGCTTTTAAATGGACTGGGGTGACCTTTAGTGGTATTTCTGTCTTTTAGTCATTTATACTTCAAGGGTAATTCCAATAAAACACATTGTTGGGATTTTTACTTCAGATGCCATTGATCCATATCTGGGGTTAGTAAATATTTGTTCACATCCTTCAGGGGATATTATTGTTCGATCCTTTCCCTATCCCTTAGGTTTAGGGAACATCTCAGAAGGGGAGTGGAAAAAGTGTAGGAGTCAGAAGATATTAATGAGTATTGTGAAAGCATAGTTTTTGGAAATGACATGGCTAGTACACATATGAACTCCCAGTAGCTATGATTATCCACATAAGATCACTGCAAGATCAAGAAAGTTAAAAATTCCAATAGGAAATACAAGTTACTTCTGATGCCTCATCTAATGTGAGGTGATAATGTAAGTTGATAGCTGCTGAAGGAGAGGCAGTTACTTTTAATTGGGGAGAGGTGCCCTCTGGTCAGCCTTCCATGCCCCAGGAAATGACCCCTGCCACGTGAGCATATAGACAGCAATGAATGGATTTGGTTTGTTGTAAAAATTAAGAAGACATGAAGTTGGAAGTTAGGTTTTGTTATGGGAATCAGGATGAACTGAAAAGGATTGATTAGCAGTAGATACAACCAAGATACATTGTACAAATCTATGAAATTTTCATAAACTAAGAAAAGAGCTCTGCCTCTCAGTAGACTTTCCAGCTTAAGCTCTACTCAACTTTTCATCTCTAAATGTTGACAAAATAAACAGTCTATACATTAGTGACCCTAAAACTTAAACCAACAAATATCTGTAACTCACAGTTTCTGAACATGCAAAATACCGCTCTGCTTCATCTGTTTGCTGCTGAATCTCTATAACCTGGCAGGTTGAACCACTATGGGGTGCTGTGTAATGCTGGGTCTGAGTTTCTTAAGATGGGCTATTAGCTCACAAGGCCATTACTGCAGGTCCTGATATGATGTGGTCCTAATGGAAGTTCTTAAACTCAGAACGAAATTCAGCAAAACAATACCATTAATATCATCTCCTGTGTGTCAGTTACTTCTATAAATTTCAGTGAATATAAGTTAGCATCTCAATACAACCTGGGAATAAAGGACTGGAATCAGGTCTCACATTTTGAATAGGAAAAATAAAAGAATAGGTAGATATGTTATAATTTTCACAACATCAAGCTATTAAACCCCACTGAGGAGTTTATCTATGGACTTAAAGAATTTTAAGGTCAATCATGTCTTATAGTAAGGAGTTGTTTTCAGCAAGATCACTCAGATGGGTCAAACTTGAAATATAAAAGTCAAAACATGTAACTATTCCATAACTACCGAATACTACTCTTCTCCCAAAGAGGCAAAATCAGTAGGAAGATAATAAAATACTATTACCTATAGAGTTGTTAGGATAATGTTACATGCAAAGTTAGATGCACAGGATGTTAGATTGTGAACATGAGCAACTATCTTTGTTAATTAGACAAATATGTTTTTAAATATTAAAGACAGATATGTTATAACAACCACTGCTACAAATGCATGTGCTTCTGGTGTTATTTGGGGTATACCATTTGTGTTCAGTTTTCATGAATTCTTTAGGTTGTACAAAAAAAAGAATGTTGCTATTCTTTACAGGTTGCATTTTAGCAGCTAGAGCTTTAGGATTTTCTGTATTTTGTGCACAGAATAAAATTGACTTATGGTTAACGATAAAATGGTGTTCATCTTTTATTCCCGGATATTCTGTTTCTAACAAAATATCAATTTAAATTGTCTGGCAAGCTAGTGTAATATCACTTGCATACACCTCAAGAAAAACTGCATCTGGACTCAAGTTGGCAGGCTTAAATTTAGGAAACTTGAAACGCATTTTACAAGGTTTAAATGAGTGGCTTTCTAGATTTGACATGTAATTTTCAGTCTATTGCTTGAAATGACCCCCAATGCTTCATTCATTTGGTATTAATAATGAGCCCATTTAAACTTATTTTGTGAGCAATTTTAATTTGATGCTTAGTTCTCTTTAAGAGTTATAAAAGGTCAAATATTGTTCGAATGGAAGGAGGGAAATTCACAACCAGCAATTTTTACACTTAGTTCACCCCAGTGGCAAGTTTTATGAAAATAAATGCTACAGTATTTTAATAGGAAAGTTAACTTTTGTAGATTTTAGAGAACCACATATTCTATTGCCTGTTATGTTACTTTTAGCATTTTATATTGACCTTTAAATATTTGTGTTCACAAGAGTAAACTTGTAATCACAGATAAGAACATGGTTAACCCAGGCATGGTCGCACTCACCTTTCATTCTGGCAAAGGCAGATAATCCTCTATGAGTTGGAGATCAGACTGGAAAAGGAAAGAAGAAAGAAAGAAATAAGAAAAGAAGAAAGGAACGAAGGAACGAAGGAAGGAAGGAAGAATTTCCTAATACATAATACCCATTAACTGGAATAAATTTTAGTTAATTTGTCTATTGATCAACAATTATATTGTGGTTTAGAAATACGCAGCAATGACAACATCTATTGTCATATCAAGTTTTTAACTAATCAAAATACTAAGGAAGTAAATTCCACTTGTACTTCATAATCTGAACTGTTACTCTGTATTTGCGTCTAATATTCTGAAGCTATAGCCCTGGAAAACAGGCCTTTTAAATCTATTAATGATATTTTTGATCTACATTTTTCCCACTGGTACATTGCTGTCTCAATCTAACATATTTACATCATTTACTTTTCCTGGTATCTGTTTTGCAAAGGAGTGAATATTAATTTAACTTAATAAAGTATTTGAAATACATCTGTTATGATGCTTATTTTTAAACAGGTAATACTTATATTCTTATTGGTATTTACTAAGTTATAGTGAGGAAAAAAATATTATTCTCATATCTATTATCTACCTGACTGTTCTTCTCTTTAATCATTTTATACTATGTGTGTGTGTGTGTCTGCCTCTCTGTGCACGTGTGTGCACCTCACATCTTCATATAATAAAATAAATCAACCCTGTATTTACAGACATCACATCCTCAAACCTGCCAAATGATAAGATACGAGTATGCCCCAAGCAACACAATACTCATGAAACGGCTATCTATCTCTTTTGAGTTGTTTATGATCAATATCTCTTTCACTTGGTTGTACTCCATTAAACAGCAACAGCAACAACCAATTAACCCAGTACAGCTTTGAGTTTCTGTGGGAGCAATAACAGCTGGCCAAACATTTCACCCAGTATGTTTTATGTTTCTCTTATGTTTCTTTTGATAACTAATATCTTCAGTGCTTCTCTGTGTCACAAAAAATTTCTGTGTATAATAGTCTGTGCTTTCACTTTTTTTTTTTTTTTTTTTTGATTTTCGAGACAGGGTTTCTCTGTGGCTTTTTGGTTCCTGTCCTGGAACTAGCTCTTCTAAACCAGGCTGGCCTCGAACTCACAGAGATCCGCCTGCCTCTGCCTCCCTAGTGCTGGGATTAAAGGCATGCACCACCACTGTCCGGCTGTGCTTTCACATTTTGTAGCTGAAAAATGAGGTTTTTTTTTCTGCATTGTGTAAATCAGTCAACTAAAACCAATTGTAAAAATGACAATTAATCAGAAGTTTCCTAATATTATGTTAAATATCCAAGAGTCTTTTGATCAAATGTGGGTGGTTCTGTATGTTTGTTGGAACACTATCAGTGCTATTAGAGAGTGTTTTAAACTCTGTCTCATAATATCTAAACACCTGAGTTTTTTTTCCCTCAGAGGTTCAAATATTGTTATTTTCAAACTCACTTTGAAGAGCCTTGAAAAATGGCTCAGTAGATAAACTGCTTCTTGTATACAGACTAAATTATTAAATACAGAAAAACCCTCTTTAAAATATTATTAACACTTTAAAACATATTTGGCTTTAGTACTCACCATTATTTTTGGTAAGATTTTAATTCTTTTGGTCACAGTTAAGGTCAAAACCTGCAGTTCATCAAATGAAGATGAAAGATGATCTTTCAACGGGGCACAAGGAAAGTCAGATATACATTTTAAAAACAAAATTCCTGTGCTCGCACATATACTAAAAAATTGGAATGATACAGAGAAGATTAGCATGGCAAGGATGCCACGCAAGGATGACACACAAATTCGTGAAGCGTTCCATATTTTTAAAAAGGCACAGGCTAAGAGATTGGATACGTAAACAGGATCCAAAATTCTGCTGTTTACAAGGAACACACCTCAAACACAAACATAGGCACCTACTCAGAATAAAGGGCTGTGAAAAGGCTTATCAAGCAAATGGACCTAAGAAACAAGCAGGTGTGGCCATATTAATTTCTAACAAAGTTGACTTCAAACTTAAATCAATTAGAAGAGATGGAGAGGGACATTTTATACTCATAACAGGAACAATTCATCAGGAGGAAGTCTCAATCCTGAATATCTATGCCCCTAATATAAAAGCACCCACGTACGTAAAAGAAACATTACTAAAACTCAAGGCTGCCATCAAACCGCACACACTAATACTAAAAGACTTCAACACCCCTCTCTCACCAATGGACAGGTCAATCAGACAGAAACCTAACAGAGAAATAATAAAAAAAAAAATAATGGAGGTAATGAATCAAATGGACTTAACAGACATCTATAGAACATTTCACCCAAATAGGAAAGAATATACCTTCTTC